CTTTTTCTTTTCCTTCCCCCAGCTTTTATTCTCGCTCCATGCAGCTTGTGTGGCGATGGCCAGAGCAGGCAGCGAAAGCCGGGGTGATGTGTCCTACCCAGCCATGAATTCACTCAGGGCTGGCCAGCGGACACAATCTCCTCACACAGCTCAAAGGCTCTGCTCTGACCATCCGGGGCAGCCACAGGATGCTGGTGGGTGTGAGAAAGGGCTTGGCAGATGACTAGCCCAAAGCCCTGACCCGCTGGGTGAGTGTGTGTCAGCCTCCAGCATTAATGCCAGGCTTAGGGCAGGCTCCCTTTTGGCTCAATTTTCCATGTTTACTGTAGTTACAGGACAACATTTACAAAGAGAGGGTTACACAAGTGATTTTAAAGAGGCAGGGTGAGAACACAGCCTATTGTTAAGGCAGCACTTTCCATCACCAGACCCAGCTCTGGTTTGTTTCCAACACTTCAGCCACTTGCTCTGAAATTGTCCAAGCTGTTGACGAAATTCCTATGCTATTCTGCAGCCCCTTTGGAAAAAAAGGGATTTGCAACCCCCATCCCATAGTATGTACATGTGTACACCCATGCAGATGGAGAAAATGAACTTCAGTGCATACAGACAACCTGAATTTTGTCAGGTCCTCAGGGTGAGCAGTGTGCTAAAATAGTTGATTCCTAAGAAAATAAATTGGAACCTGTAGAACTATAACAATCCCTTGTCTTGGGTCACCAGCAAGGTTCAGTAGTTTGGAACTGCACCAGACTCTGCTCCTCAGCACCAGCCACAGGAGGTGGGTGACACTGTACACCTTGGCAAGAATTTTATCCATTCATCTGATGACTCCAAGGAAGAGAAATATGAGAGATTACAACTGGGGGAAGGAAAAATCTCTGTATTCTTCACACCTACTGTCCACCCCAACACCCATCTCAGTGCCATGTGTGTCTCTACTCTCTCCCATAGGCTCTTTTCCATCCCCTTCTTCCCACCTTCATCTCCTGCAGTCCTGCTGTCCCAGTCCCCTTCCTGTGCACACCCTGCCAGACTCTGGCCAAGCAGCTCCTTGCTCCTCTCCTTGTTCAGCAAAGCACAAACATGTGGGCCTACAAACCAAAACCAACGGGCAACAACAGACCTGAGGCTTGGTTCTGACAGCATCATCTCTCTTATCTGTAACAACTCCCAGGGAAGGAGGCTGCCTGGTCTCCCTAGGTGGCCTTGCAACAGTTTTATGATAGTAACAGGATGTTTTCACAACATCCAGCCTAAATCATCCTCGCAAATTAGCAAATAAGTAAATTAAACTGCCATGGAAATCTGGGACTTTAATAACCACTATTACATGTTGGCAGCCTGCTGGATTGCACAATGGTTTTCTTTTTGCTGCATCGAATAAATTTAGTTCTTTCAATCTCTTCTCGCGTTTCTTAATCTCTTCTCATTGTTTCCTTCTGGACACTTTCCAATCTGCCTGTGTCTTCCTCTGAGCAGGGCACCCCAAAGTGGATCTGATGGCACTGATGATGGTTCCACAGTGCCACACAGGAGTAAGTCACCTCCCGCACCTTACGGAGGACACTCCTTCAAATAGAGCTCCAAACAAGACTTGTCTCTCTTGCAATAACTCTTGCAGTTGGTTCATTTGTAATCCACTACAAATCCTCAGCCTTATTTTAACCTATCCCTCTCCAGCTTAAACCTGACTTGGTAAAAGTGAATTTTGCTTTCTCCTTTGCAAATGCAGCACTCACTGTCTGCTTTTATCTCTTATCTGGATGTGCTCTCCAATTTCTTAAGGTCAGTCTGAACCCTGACCCTGTTCTCTCAAGTGCCTACAATCCCTCCTGACCTGATATCATCTGAGTGTTATAAACATACCTTCATCTTCCAAATCATGACTGAAAATATTGCAAGTTTCCCCCCAGAAAGTGACCTTGCTGATTTATCAATTGTTACTGCACTACTTGGATCAGTGGAGGGATGTAAGTGCAAGAGTTTTCTAAGCTTCATTCTCAGCAATTTCTGAAAACACAGACATTAATTAAATACTGTTCCTTTGGTAAAGGTAGGATGCATTCAATTCAATAGGAACTAACTAATACAGTTAATAAATGCAATGGGAAGGCTATTGCCAGTGAACTCTGTCCTGAGGTCAGCCAGCTACAACTTCTCAGTCACAGGCTCAGACAACCCAGCAGCACAACCTTATCCATCCTGCCACATGAAGACAAAGATTCAGCAAATAATGAATCACAACCAATTTCTGGGATCAACACAAGAGAAGCATATCATGGTACAGTTCATTTAAAACTGCTGCTTTACTTTTATGATGCTGGAGTCACAGGCTCCATTTTAAACTATTTTAATATCGCAGCATGCAGAAGCCAAACCAAATTTCTCATCAGAGTTAAAAATCATTCCATTTTAAAAACACTAAAGTCTCATTTTAATAGATCACATCAAGTGATTGTCCCAGCTCTACTCAAGATTCCCAAACTAAGCAGGAAGATAAGGATCAGGAGAGTCTCCATCAGGATAAGCACCCACTGCCCACCATGCAAGGAGCCTGGTAAGTTCTGGTAACAGAGTTTTATAGGTGAACAGATACAACCTCTGAGAAAAGATTCTGGAATTTAAGAAATAAATAACTTAAAAACTCATTTTAATTGTAAAAAACATTTTTCCATTCTTTTCTCTTTAGTGCTTATAATTCTATAGACCATTATTTTCCTAAACATTTTTTAATAGCAGCTTTTCCATGACATGTGCAAGAGTCTTGTGAAATGACTACGGGAGAAAGTGTGTAACACTGGCATCACAGATCCAGCTAATTGTAAAAATCCTTCACAGTTTTTCATTCTTTAAAACCCAGCTTAGAAGAAAGAGTTTTTCCTCCTTCTCTCTCCAAAGTACTCAAGCTACTGTCCTTCAGCCTGACTGAACTATACAAGAAACTGCACTTTTTAAACTCCAAGACTGTTTTCTTAAAGTAACTTGTGCTTACGAAAAGCAGTGTGCAAATTTCCCACCCATAAAACAGGAGTAAGCAATAATTCCCACGATCCAAAACTGCGGAGGCTGCAAAATACCTGCAGCTCCTGACCAGGGGCAAGCAACAACACTTCTATTTGCACCAAGTTAAGAAAACCACCTTTACTAACCACAAAATGGTCTGTAATGAGAAGGCAACGAGCAGCTCAAAGACTCCTGGCTACAGAAAGCAGCAGCACTAAATAAAGCAGAGTCAGGATGTGGCAGGAGAGGCACAAAGCGCGATGGCGGCTTTCACCGGCCGCCTCTGACCCAGCCCACATGTGTGAATTAAACTCTATTTATAAGCCTTCCACTCCTTTTTGGTTGTTTTTTTTTTGTTGTTTTTTTTTTTTTTTTTTTAAACGACCTTAATATAGTGCAGTTGTTATTTTGTTTCTGTTGAACGTAGCAACAGGAAACCCGGTCAGTCCTGCAGCAAACTTTCCATTCCCCTGGCACTCCCATTCCTGCCTCGGAAAAGCCAGATCTCTAAAGAGGTGTTTGACAGGGTGGGAGGGAGAGGAAGAAGAGAAGAAAGCACACACACAAAACCCAAAATGCCTGTAAAACATGCAAAATGGAAGCTAAATTCAAAACTTTGTTTTTTTATTATTTTCTCCTTGTTCGAAAGTAAAAGGCTGTGTCCCAAATTACATTTTCTAAAGATTTCTTACTTCACTACCAGATTTGGAAGTACTGGTCAGGAAATTTATCTTTAATAAAGGGTCAGTAAAAAAAAAATAAAAATTCAGTAGCATCCTATTCACACATTCCAGTAATGAAAGACTTCCATATCAGACAGCACAAATTTTGGCTTGGAAAGTTATTTTCTCTAGTTCCTTGCTAACTCACCAAGCAAACAGCTACAGAAATTAAGCCTTAACTTGTTAAAAACATAATAAACTTGATTTTATTACAAGCTTTGGCAAGACTGTTCTGCTGCTCAAAGAGCTTTACTGCATGATGAGCAAAGATTTTTGGAGCTCCACCCTGCACTGTAAACTCATCCCAACAGTATTTTCTCTTTTAACAGCTTCATAATCGTAGGGGAGGACACAAGCACAGCTGCTCAAAGGCAACGTGCTCCAACACAAGGCTGCATCAATTTGCCATTTACAAAACGCTTTTTCAGGAACATGAAACCCCACATAAAATACAGAGCAAATACAAATCCATCTAGGAAAGGTAAGACTAAAAAAACCCACAGCTCTTGACAAAGCAGAATTTGTATTAGTGGTGCTTTAAATGAAAATTCTGTTCATGTAAAGCTAAATATCAACCTTTTTTTTTTTTTTAAATCACAGAGAAGTCTTAAATATGGCAAGTAATAAAATACAATTCCAATGGATTCCTGGCATGACCTTTTTATATTGTTTCCCTGACATGAGGAATATGACATTTCTCCCCACATCTGATCCCTATATATCCTCCCATTATTCATTTTTCTTCCACCTAAGGCACAAACACTCCCAGCCCATGATGCCTTTAGACTTTGGAGTCTGTGCACACACCAACATAAACCACAGCCACGGCTCTTTCTGCCAAAACCTCCCTGGAAACACAAAGCACCAGAAGCGATGGACAGACTCTCCAGGACCACCCTGGCGGCGGCAGCGCAGGGACCTTAAAGGTGCTGCTGGCCCCACACAGCATCACCAACCTCAAGTGCATTCCAGCATGTGGCTTTTGATGGTCAAATCATACACAAATCTTGTGCAAGGTACAACTTTGCCCCATGAGGAACCTCTTGGCTCAATCTGTCTGTGACTGGCTGAGAAAACACAAATGTGCCTGAATCCAGTGGTTGAAAATGCAAGGGCTAGAAAAGCCCAGGCTGTCTTTAAAAGGCTAAAGCAATGTCACTGGACATTGTTCAGCTTTGCAGAGGCTACAGAAAGGAAACCAGCAGGTCACAGCAGCAGTGACATTTCTTTATAAAGAACAGCAAAGGACAAGGTGACAACACCTGCACTCACCACTTCCTGTGCGCCGTCCTTCTGAAAATCCACCTCGTCCTCAGTTTTCATTTCCAACATCCCTGTGCAAACAGAAGATCCACAAAGGTAATTTAAAACAAACTTCTTTCATTGCTACTAATATTTTTCTGTTTACTCAAACCAGTACCCCCTCCCCAAAAAAAAGAAAAGAAAACCCAACCCCCAAGGCCCTTCAACAAGTCTATTTGAACCCCTACAAGGCCATTTGATTGCCAAATTTTGGTTTCATTGCTGACTTCACTGCTTCCTCACTATTCATTTTAACAACTATCCTATCTGGGAGGAAGGAAACGATGAAACAGCAGCAAGCATAGGGTGAAATTCCTGACAACCTGTAGATGAGGTCAAGCACATCTGCAGGTATTTGTTCCATGTATTTTCTTGGCTCCCATTCATCTACATAAACAATCAAACCTTTTGCTATTTTTCTCCTTACCATAACCCACAGATAACACAAGAAACTAGCCTTGTCTGCCCTCAATATCTATTTTAAGCATTGAAAAAAAAAAAAAGAAAAAAAAAAAATCACAAGCTGCAAAAACCCAACCCACCTGCACTGCCTTATGGATGAGAGAATCGCCCTGCTGGACTAGGAAAGCAAAACCTTTGCTGCTGGAGTTTACAAAGTCCCAGCTGACTTTCCCCTTCTCCACGCTCCTGTGATGGTGTCACCACCACAGTTGTACAAATTTCATGTCCCAGCTGCTTCCTCTGCCCAGCCAAGTTTTCATTAGTCACCATTCCCCAGGGGTTCCCCCTGCTTACCTTTCTCTGGCAGGAAGTCAACATCGTCATTCTCTTTGATCCCTAAGCTAAGGACTCTCATGACACACAGGACACTTTCAGGGGAGTGAAGTGATTTGACCAAAGCCACCCAGATGAAGAGTGGCTGTGTCAGGGCTAAAACCCCCTCTAATCCCACTCCCTCTCTCATTTCTACTAAAAACAAACCCTGGATGGATGACAACGCCTTCTTAAGGGCGACGTATGCTTGCAGTGAGTTTAGCCCTACAGGGATTTAGCAAGAGGAGCCTCCCATTTTCATGGGGAAATCATCCTAACAATTGTAACTAATGGTTTTCCACTGCCTTTAATGTCTACCCTTGTTTTTTGGGACCATCTGGTTTTGCAATGATTTTGCCTCGATTGCATGAATTTGTGGACAGACTCAAAAATCAGAGATAATGCTACAAATTTCTGTGAGATCCAGTTGCTGGGAAATCTGCTCAGGGTTATGGCAATGCCACCGTGGTTGAGATCCTGATCCAAAGACAGAACATGCAAGTAAGAAACATTTGGTGAACTGAGGATGGGAGAAGCAAGCTCACCCTGCGGGGTAAGAAATGGGAGGATGAAGACATTTAGCCCTCAGGATGAAATTCAAGACAATTTTTTCACTCTGTCACTTCTTCCTAAATTTCTCATAAGAAATATCCCAAAGGAAAAGCACTATAAAGCTGTCACAGAGGTCTCTGGGCATAGTGTCTCTTAATGCATGTGTGGCGTCATTAGTGATATTTGTTACCTGCTCATCCTGCCACTCTAATAAGGGAAGGAAATCATTCCAAGAGCTTTTCCACAGGGAAAATGCCACCAATAAGAATGAGGTGAAGACTCATAAGGTGATATTCTTCTGTCAAGGAATATTTTCTTGAAATGCTGAGATCTACAGGAGATATTTCTGCCAGGAGAACAGCTAAGGAGCAGTAATTACAGTATTTGTTATTTAAGATGGCAGCCCCCAATCTTACAATCTAACCTTGCTTGGTTTGGTTTCTGCCAAGAAACTGCAACTACTCCAAGGTGTTTTGTCAGCACAAACCCATGGCATCTCTTCTCTTCTCACCCAGCCAGGCTACTGTGGTATGATTTCATAACCTAACTCCTTTCTTTTTTAATGAGTAGCATCTACCTGCCTGACTTGCAGATAATGTGCTTCCAGAACCCATTACTCAGCAGTAATGCAGTTCTGAGTCTAAAGCTAACAGTAGGAGGAGATGCCTCAGGAAAGCAGGATCTACCTTCATCAGGTTCCTCAGGGTTGTGACCAGTCACTAGATACCTGTCTGGATAAGGAAATTGGCCTTTTGAAGTCTTTGTTTTGGGGATAGGCGGAAACTAAGCAGAGGCAATGAGATAAACAGGTGTATATTTGGGAGCAGCTTCACAATATAAATAAAAAAAATTAAAGACCTCAATGATCTGGAGTAATGGCAACAGCAATTATCAGCTGATTACATCTCTGATAAATTACCATGACAATAAACCCCTCTGACTACACGAGTTTCTGAGAAATGGCCTTGTGACCTACACTTCCTTTGGGAAGGTTTTATTGTATTCCACCAAAAAAAGATGTGACTCATCCTGAGAACTGACGAGTCCGAGTCCAGCACGGATACAAAATCCTCTGTACAAATCCAGACCTCAGGGAAAACTCCCCAGAACAGGCAGAGCAGAAAAAAAATTGAAGGGCCACTGAACTGATATAAAAAACATGCTACCCAAGGCTAGACACCAACATGAAAAGTGTATACAGCAATAATTATAAACAACAAGTCAGTTCTATTGAATTACTGCCATATCAGATTTCTAGATGGTGCTCTATAGGAGATCAGTGTCAGAAATATTCCAAATAGTGAGCTTGGATTCATAGCAGTCACTTGCCTATGCTTAAAGCCAATTTTTCAATTGGACTTCCCCAACATTTTGATTCAAAATAATCCTAAAGTACTTCAAGAGAAAATACTACAGTTTAAATTTTGTTTTGTGTGGCATCTCATTGCACGTGAACAGCTTCTGCTTAAGGACAGGTCAGACCACTTTATTCCAAGACCCTTCAGCCCTAAATCCTTATGTATTTTAAATCAGTAACAGGATCACCTCCTGTTTTTTCCTCCCCTTTCCCCATCCCAATACAGAATGATGACTTAACATTACTTTCCTACTTTAGCTACTATCTTATTGGACTGTCTAGTCCCTTTTCCTGTTCAAACCTCACCTAGACAGTGTCATGGCTCCAAGAATCCAACCAGAGGTAAAGACCTGGACTGTACAGATAGAGCCAGCAGAGCAGAGGCCCCTAGGAAAAGAAGCCCAGCCAAGTACTGACTTACAGCCACTCCCATCTATTGAACTGTCAAACCAACACAGTATTAAAACAGGTTCTTTCTGAAAACAGCTTTCTAATCCACTTTTAGATCTGTCTACTTATGTACTAGTGATCTCTTGACTCATGTTTACTGGTTAGCTCTTGACACACAAGCATCCTAAAAATCCTGAATTCCACAAAAAATTTATTTGCTGCACCCTGCACTGATACCCTCCTCCCCTCCTGCCCTCAATTATTCTGCTGTCACATATCAGAATAAACTCTCTACCATCAGCCCATTCTGCACTTAGCAGCTCTCAGCATTAGAGCAGTGAAACAGCTTTATAACTTCACGACTTTGCAATTTATATCATGGCAGATTTTCTTTAAATCATTTAAATGCTTTGTTTGATTGTTTTCTTGTTAGATGCTTGGAAAGTGAGAGGCACTGTATCATTTTCTCAGAGCAAAGAAAAAATGGCAACTGAAAAAGTTCAGCTGCTTCCATTTAACAGCTGCCTGAACAGGTGGGATACACAGATCAGATTAGCTCCATGCTTCAGTACCAAATTCACCTACCATTAAATCCCAGGCTGGAGCAACAAACCCATTTCTTTTTCATTCCATGTACCCCTTTATCTCCCTTCCTGGAGTTACCTGGTGATGTTTTCCATTAGCTCCTGCTGCATGGAGGCTTCTATGCTGTCCCCCAAGTCCCACTGCTCTCTCCCATCACCACTCATCCACGGGGAAGGCCAGTCTCACTTCCCAGCCCACAGGAGCCAGTAAAACTCATCACCCAAGTTCCAGCACTGCTGAAATGCACTGGCAAACACCACCAGCTGCTCTGCCTGACAAAAAAGCTCCGAAGCCCGGAAAAGGCAGCGGGGGAAGGGCTCACTGGCTGTTCTAAATGACCTAATGCTGCCAATTAGGAAGCAGCTTCGGGCAGTTCAGAGGGACACTGGCAGCTGGCTCACTTCGACAAGCAAAGAAAACCAGGAGAGCCCCATTGTCCCCACTGGCTCCACACCAGCAAAAATAAAGGGGGAAAGCAAAAGGGTAACACCAAGGAAATAAACCCTCATGCCCACAGAGCTTATAACTTTAAGATAAAGTAATCCAAATAGCTCAAAAGCCCATTCATTTCTTCTCCAGCGAGGATTTACGTGCTAGAAATTCTTCTGCACAAACTCATAGGAGATGATGCTCTGTTCTTACCTCCAGTGCCAGACAAGCACCACGTATTTGAATTGGAAGTTTTTATAAGTAACTAACTACAAATTTTTTGTTTCCCAGAAGAAAAACCTCAAACATCTCCTCTCCAACACAAGCATCCAGCTCTTACTTCCTTTCTTTGCTGATGACGTGATATAAACACGCCTACAAAGAAAAACCTAAAAAGTAAAAAAACAACTGATTTTTCCTACCTGTAACAGGCTCAGCTCCTTGCACTGCCAGGCTGACATTCTTCTTCTTTGCCGAGGAACTGCAATCCATTTGTCCATTAAGGCTGGCTCTGGCATCCACAGCAGTCTGGGGCTCAAGCCCCACTTTTTCTGCGGCAGATACTTCGGGGGAACAAGGTGTGTCTGCTGCAAAAACCACTGCATCAAAACTTTTCACCATTTTGGGAACTTTATCCAGAGAAGAGGCACCATTAGCCGATACCAAACTCTTCACTCCCACATTTTCCAGTGACTGCACAGGCTGCAGGTGGCAGGAACACGGCGAGAAGGGCGCTGCAGGTACAGCTCGGCTTTGCTTTCCATGGGGCTCAGCCAAGCCCTCCCCCTGAGCCCCTGCCAGGGCAGTGTCACTGTCCCCAGCTGGACAGACGGTGTCAGTGCTGGAGTCACTGTCACACGTGGGCTCCTCTGCGATGGGCTGGAGCGCTGCCCGGGGCAGCACGCTCTCTGTGTCCTCCTGCTGCTCTGCAAACGCTGCAACTGGGGCTATTGTCGCCTGCCTTGGCACCTCCTTACCCTCACAGGTGTCACTCAGAGCTCCCACCTCTGAGGCGTCCTTTAACTCGTGAGTGCTGCTGTGGGGGCAGATTTGTTGTAGGGTTTGAGCGGGGTCTTGTTCTTGGTTCAGCCCAGCATTCGGACAAGGGTCACTCTCTGCACACAGTGGCTCATCTGCTGATGCAGGTCCATGCATGGTGCCTTCTGCTGCAACTGCAGCCTTGCAATCTTCTTTGGGTTGGTGTGTCGCTTTCAGCCCAGCATCCACACTGCTGCTGCCCACCACAGGCCCCTCCAGACTGCAGGAGGGAGGTTTCACAACAGCAGCAAGAAGTTCCTCTGACAAAACCTGCTCATTGCCATTCACATGAGCCTCCTGCTCAGGCTCACCTTTGCCTCCTTCAGCTTGCTGCGAGTGGCCCTGCCCTGAGGAGCCCTTGTCCCCAGCATGGTCCCCAGGCCAGGTGGCAGCTACCCCAGCATGCTCCTCACCGTGCTGCCAGGCGAGCTCTGCCGAGCCTGCCCTCGCCGCCACCGCTTCCTGGTTTTGTTTAGATTCCTCATTATGAGTTGCAGAGGGTGTGCCTATTAAATTATCCTCGGCACAGTCTGAGCCCTTGGCACATGGAGCTGATCCAGGGTCATTACCTTGCAGAGCTGCCTCCTGCCCGGGAGGTGCCACTGCAGCATCTCCCTCCTGACTCACAGCTGGCCCCTCTCCTCTGGGTAGGGGAGATTCCACCTTGCTGCTCCTCCCCTCCTGCTCTGAAGTGTTTTCTGCTTTCTCTGCTCCAGCCTGGGCAGGCTCTTTCTCTGCCAGGCCTGCACTCACATCCTCTGGAGGGAGCGATGCAGGCTCACGTTCCTCACGTTCACCCTGCTGAGCAGTGTCTGGTTTGGAGCTGTTGCCCATTTCACCTTTAACACCAGTTTGAGCAGCAGAAGGGGCACAGGCAGCAACTTCCTGGCCACCGCCTGCAGAATCTGTGCTTCCTCCATCTCTGCAGCTGCTGGTATCAGTTCCTACTGGCTCCTTTTCACTGCTCTCCATGGCTGCAGCCCCAGGGTCAGCGATCTCACCACTCTTCTGGCAATGTGCAGCTTCCACACAACCTTCATTAGATACACCAACATCTCCGTTTGCAGGTTCAGCATCAGGGCCGTCAGTTTCCACACTGTCTTCCAGTGAGGGCAGGCTGGATTTTCCATCTGTGCAGCCTGCTTCCACCAGCCCTTCTTGCTCCCCACTCTCACTGCTGCCAGGGACTTCCAAACCAGCAGCAGGTTTTGATGTGCATGCAGGAACCTTCACCCCATTCACTGCTGGCAGTGCTTCTGCAGTGCTTGCAGTGACCTCCTGCCTCGCTGTGACACTGCCATCACCCCGGCTTTCCATGAAGTCACCATTTACCTGAGCAGTGCACGACTCCACATCAGTCTCTTTGTTACTGCTGGTCTTGCAAAGGTCAACAGAGACACTGCCAATGTCACCACCTGCATTTGCACCGTCACAGGCTGGTACCACTCCCACATTTGCATCCTCCCCATCCGAACACTCAGTGCCATTGAAACCACTGAGTAAGGGCTGAGCAGTGCTGGATGACTCTTCCTTAGCTGGGTGTTTCTCTTTCAGCCTTGCAGTCCTCTCAGCAGGCTCTGCCAGCCCATCCTCTGCCTGCCGCTGGCCCTTAGCCCTCTCAGGTGCCCCGGCACAGTTCCTGCACTCAGTCTGGCCCATGGCCACATCCAGGCCCTCCGAGGGAGCTGGGGCTTCACCTGCAGCTGCAGCCACAGCAGCAGCACTGGCAGCAAGCTCCTCAGCAGTTTGCACTTCCTGATGGGCACTGTCTGTGCTGCTCACGCCAGCCTGATCCAGAACAACTCCAGCCGATGTCATTCCAGCCTCCTCATTTGTATTTCCAGAGCATGGAAGGTTTACAGCACCATTTACACTTGCACACGGGCTCACAGTGCAGTCCTCATCAGATACGGTCCCAGAGCCCTCCGCAGATCTTAGCCCCGCCTCTCCTTCCTTTTTGCACAATATCTCTGTGTTTTTACTTTCACAGAAGCTGGCTGGGCTGTTCGCACCCCCTGGGCTAACCGTGTCTTCTGGTGCATCATTAAAAGCTCCCAGACTGCTGCTGTTGCATTTCTCCTCCTGCTGGGTTTGGTCTGAGAGCTGCCTGATGTCCAGGTGAACCAGATCAGATGGGTTTTCTTGCCTTTCTTCTTTTGCCATTTCTTCTAGGCTCTGAGAGGTGGTGGTCATATGACCCTCTGCTCCTTTACTACAGCTGTCTCCAGAATCTCCCAGTACAGGCTCTGTCTGCTGCCTTAAACTCTGTAACAACACACAAAAAAAAAAAAAAAAAACAAACCAGGTTTATTTTGTCATGAAGTTACTCAAGACCTGTATCTACCTAATACTATTCCACATGAATCCTATTCCTGGTGCTACAAATGTAGTACAGTGGGTATTTTACATGTTGGTTTTATTAGCAGGAGGTAATATTGAAATTATTAGAATGATAGAAACGTTGTTGGAAAGAACATCTAAAGGTCATCTAGCCCAACCACCTGCCTGAAACTGGCCTACTGCCACTGCAGCATCAGGTCAACCATGACTTTATCTATGCCAAACCTCCAATGATTGAGTACCCACAGCCTCTCTGGACAATCTGCTCCCATGCCACACCACCCTCCCATGAAGAATTTTCCCTAAAGCCAGCCTGAACAACCCAAAGCTGAAATTTGTCTCTCTACCCCCCTGCTACACCATCTGCCATCACTGAAAAGAACTGTAATCTTGGTAATAGCTCTTTGAGAAGGTGTAGTCTCAGTTCTTGAGTGCACTTAAATTCAAGAACAGTAAAGAGCAGAACTCAGTCTACCAAATAATGCAAATATATAGCAGCCTAGTCCCAAAGGACTTCAAGCAAATGCTGCTTAAGAGCACCTTCAGATCCCCACCCAGCACCCCCCAGCTCTTACCAGCATTCCTCAATTTTCTCTCTATGGATGGAAATGCCAGCATTGGCTGGCAAAGTTCAAACACACCAACTGTCTCCTGCTCAGAGCACTGAACTAATAATCTAATCTATTCCTGAGAACTGCAGGCGTAATTAAATATCTGAAATTTATTTCCTAACTGGAAATAAAAATTTCAAAATTATGACATACTATTAAAATTAATACATGCATTATCATGGAACAGCAGGATCATAATCAATTCCTCTCTAATCTGCCTTTTCCTTCCAGAGCACCTGCTTTGTCAAGCTTTTATAGTTTGATACAAACAAACCTTTATTTACAATAACTGTCTGTTTCAATATTTCCTTTCATATTCTCATCTCTGTAGAAGAGAACATATCAATGTTCACATCTTAGAAATAGTGGCTTATTAAATAACTGAGCAACCCCAGTCCCTCAGGGTACACCCAAGAGAGCTCCCCCCAGGTTTGCTTGGGGTTTTGCACCACCACAAGCTTTCCAAGGTCACACTGGTTTCTCACTAAGCGCCCGAGACTCTCCATGTGTATAAAACTCTAATGAACTATGTTAAATCTGAGCTTTTCTTGTATTTATTTGTAAAAGGATTCCAAAAAATACACACATACTAAAAGTCTAACTTGAACAGCTCCCTGCAAATTTTGTTTAAGTTTTTAGTTCTCAGAGAAATAGAACTTCACACCAAAACTGTCAGCTTAAACACCCTGATAGATAATTAAAGCACCCACTTATATTAACTGAAGCATCACAGGGAACTTCTGGGTATTGCATATACTAAAAGTGGCTAAAATCATCACTGCTTCCCTAAGGATATTGCATATACTTGTCTTTCCACACTCTGAGGTTTGCAAACACTGAGCAGTGCCACAGACTCACTGAGTCACAGACCACTAAATGTACTTCTGGTGTTTGCCACCAATCACCCTGCTATTCAAAAGAACCCTGCTGCCCAGCTTCCATCTATGCTGTCAGCTATGCTTCCCTGGTTTTGAGGCATCCCAAGCCAGGTTAGCCCTAGAGGCAGCAGCATGGCATCTCCATCCCTTGTGTGGCATCAGGGATGGGACACAGGGCTCTGCATGCAGTGGTACCCACAGGCTGCAGGGCAAACAGTGTGCCAAGCCTTTGGTGGCTGTAACCCCACAGCAGAGCATGGGGAATGTGCTCCTGGATCCTAGCCAGGATGGACAGACACACAACAGTGACACTTGCTGGGGAACAAGCAGGGTTTTCAAAAGGAGGGGCTGCAGCAGCCCCAGCATCCTCACAGTGAAGTCACTCTGCTGATAGCCGGAAAAACACAGCCATCACCAAAGGAAGCCAACAGGCTCTCAACTGACCCAAAATAAACCTAAATGAAATAATTACAGGGCTGCTTTCCAAATTCAAATCAGATTAGATGTGAAGTAAAACAGTGGTGGAAAGCAAAGTCTATTTCTGGTTTCATTGTCAGGCAAAATGTTCCCAATCTGGCATTTGCATGAGCAAACAAGCAGTGAGCTGGATATGCTTGCCATGGCTTGGGGTCTTTTGATGGAAAGGGGAAGAGATTTCAAGTTAGCCTGGATTTGTCACTCATGCCAACAGTTCCTGTTGAGATTGGGAGTAATCAATATCTCAGGTACTCAGGAAGGCTGAAAAATGGCTCAGCATAGTCTCTTCCTCTGCTCACTCCCTCAGCCCACTGGCTGCACACAACAGTTCTCCCCTCCCTTAGTTAAAGCAACAGAAATATCCTGTTGTTTAGACCCTGCACCTCTGTAACCTCAGCTATGTGATCTGATGAAGGAACACACCCACAAGTGATGCCAACAGTGACAGACACGTGGGTGCTTCTGAGAAATGGCAAACAGTGTTCTGATGTTTCACCTTCCCAACTCAGATCCTGTGGCATAGATTTTAAACCAACAGGAGAAAGCCCCTCCAAAGCCCTACAGCTCCTGTGGTCCAACCACCACAGAGTTTGAGAGGAGCACAGTGAAGGGACCATTAAGGACACAAACCTTGTGTGGCAAGGCAGGCTTACCCTCTAAGTCCTACACTGAATTGCTACTGAAACAGCCATTTTTTCCATCACCTGTCTCAGAAACTTTCCTCTCAGTCTCCTCTCTGACCCTGAACTTTCCATCTGAACAGAGATGTCCCCACTGTGCTTAAAGCCCACACCCCAGCCTCACTCCAGAGCCTGCCTTAAGCTGCCCAGAGTCTGCCAGACAGGCAGAGGGCCAGCATTCTCCAGGAAAGTGTTCCTGCCCATCCAAGTGGGTCCAAAACTAACAGATCAGGCAGGAGCTGGGAGCAGAGAGAGGCAAAACAGAGCAGGTGTTGCACCGCCCTGAGCCTGCTACTCTTCTGAATGAGAACATTTGCTTCCTAATACAGCTTAATCATATCTCCCCATGCTCAAATAAGAAGCAAATGGACAGGCATCCACCTGGATGCTTGATAATGAATCCAGAGAAAACACCTAAGGAAACATGCCCTGAAGGATGCTGACACGTAAAAATCCTCCCAGGCGCCAGGGTGCAACCAGCCAGATCTGCTTCTCTTCCATTCCCGTTTGCTCACCTGGTGCTGGTGGCTCTGCATGTGCATCTGCAGGTGCTGGATGTCCCTCTCCCAGCTGGCTGCTGTCCCCTCCGTGGCCTCAGCTGTCAGCAGGTACACGTCCAGCCCGCGGTGGTGCTTCACGCTGTAGTCCCCCGAGTGCACCGTGTGAGACAGGGTGCTCCACGAGTCCGGCTCCCTGGCTCCCTCCCTGCAAAACAAGGCAGGGGGAGTGGGCAGGTGAGCAGGGATCCTGCAGGCTCTCCTTCACTCTGGACAGCATCTAATCATGGCAGTGAGCAGAGTGGCACTGGCTCCAGACAGACAGATACACACACACACTCTCCTCAGTCTTGAAAATTAATGGGATTTAGCGCTAATGCCAGCCACAAGCTTTATTTCACAAGGTCCTTCTCAGGTAGAGATCTGTGGTTTTTACCCCAGACTGTGACAGACTAGCAGCTAAGGGCATGACAACTGCATTTTAAATCAGATTTATCCCAGGTGAAGGTCACCAAAGCAGCTGTCATAGAACAGCAGAGAACTGAAAGGCAGAACAGCAAAGAGATAAGTTGGAAGGAATTAAAACTATGATGGTTCAACTTCTCCACCAAAGCCAGCACACTGCTCACAAACACCCAACAGCCATCATATTGCAGCAATTTTTTCACTCCTGAAATTAACTGAACCTGCTCTGTGAAACAGCCTCTGTGCAAGATTTTCTCAGTGTTGTGAGACAGGTGGTTTTCTGCAGCACTATCATGGGCTTTGTTTTCACCAATCCAAAGGAAAGAAAGGAAAAAAGATGCTGTAGATCAGAATGAAAAATAACTTAGTAGGTAAATGAAGTCAATAGAAATTTCTATTCAGTCCTCTCTTTTTGAACATCAAACCCTGATTTTGCACCACTCAAAGCAGTAATTCCTCAGATCTCACCAAGCTGCAGAGCAGCTACACTGGCCCACTGAGGTGGTGAGAAAACACTGAGGTGTTCACTACCTTCAGGTTCACAAATTTCATTTTGAATCAGAACTGATTCAGGAAACCCAAAACCTGTTTTGATCATCCCAGAGTGAGCAGCATGTGCACCACCCCACCAAGCCCTGCATCCCCCAGGAGAGACATGGAGCCAAAGCCCAGGAATGCTACACAAACAGAGGATGACACTGACCTGCTCAGGGGTGCAAGAAATGGGATTTTCCTTGTATTCTACCAGGAATGCATCTACTGTCACACAGCCCCATGTATGAACTGGATTGGGGATTGAACTAGATGACCTCTAAAGGTCCTTTCCAAACCACACTACTCAGTGATTCTATGATGTCCCCTCCCTGTTGCAGAGACTAACCATTTTCACATCTCCCTTTCTTGCCCAGCTACAAATTTCCTTGGAAGAGGCAGAGCTGTGATTGTTTTTAAATAATAAGGAATTCAAGAAGGTACATAAACACAAATGCATGCCATCAACCAGGTAAAAATGCATGTAGTTTTCAGAATCTTTGCTGAGAGATTTTGCTTTTAAATCTGCAAACCTTTCTTATGGCTAGGGCCCCCCAGCAAACCACAGGGCTGTCTCTCTGGGAGGCCAAGCAATCTAGAAAGCAAAGTCATAACGAGCAAACACCATGATCAGCAACAGGAATGGGCAGAGCAGGGTGGAGAAACGGTAAAAAGGTTCATCAGAGGCAGAGAAACCTGTGCAGGCAATGCTGGTGGCAATGGCTGCCCCTGCTCTGCCCCAGCACAGCCAACCATCCCCTTCTGTGACTCGTTCTGGGTTAAATCTGCAAGGAAATTCAGACAAAGGATTACTATGGCTTTCACCATTCTCTACCATTTATCTCAGTCATGACTTGACTTCAGCAGAGTTACACTTGATGTATGGAGAATCAATATTTCCACAGAGAAACAGAAGGAAGCAGCCAGTTTCTGGTGGTGATTGGTCTAAGTCCACAGAGGCACTGAAGTCAACTGAGCCATTACAAGGAATAAAGAAATGATCTTCCTTTATCAAGAAAACACAGACATTTCTGTCTGGAGTGTTTTTCTCTTCAGCTGTCATGTATGAGAAACCACTGTACAGAGTACAACAAGGCAGTGAGCACAAAGCCCACAGCCACCCACTCATGGGGACGACAGCAGCCAGATTAAAGAACGGCGCGCGATGAATCTGCTCCGCTTTCTCATCAGCTTCAAGGACCCTCACAGGCATCTCCAAATCAGCACCCACAAAGCTGCCTGCATGACCTGTTGAGCCTCAAAGGGCCCTCAGCAACTTCAAAAGGCTCAATCTGGAGCAAGATGACAGGCAGAGCCCCCTGCAACACCGCACGTGTGTCCACCCCTCCAGCAATCCACAACCTTCACACGGCCCAGATGGATCAAACAGTCACTTTTGCTTACAAAGAGAGCAGTTTCTTTTCATATTCAAGCTGCCAGTCTGTGTTACACTTTATGAAAAGCTTTAAACCTTTTGAGGAAGCAAGAAGCTTCTCACATTCAGCCAAGTACAAACTCTGAGCTCTCACTTTTAATAGCAGTCATCTTCGTTACACAAAATTAAACAGTGAGATAGAGAATGGTTCAATCTACTGCCTCCTTCAAACCATCCCTTTCATACTCTGCTCCATCCCAGCACTAATGGTCTGAAGCAGAGAGGACAAATGAGGATTCACAAGCATTAACTCATTTTCCCACCACTGTTCCTGTTGTTCAGGCAATCACTTCCAAGGCCATTTGAGAAGACACTCCTCCTCATTTGCCCTCATACACTGAGCTTCACTGTTCATGCCTTTCCTGCATGTCTCACTGCAAGGCCTGGGTTTTACTGAGAGATGATAAAAACACACTTTCTTCCAGGAAAAAAGCTTTGTTGTTACGCATTTTGTACTCCCTGGCTGTGAAAGATGCTTATTTTGTCCAGACTTGGAATTTTTGTAGTGGTTGTATAGGCTTGCATATCCAAGCTGCTCTACTAGGAGATAAAAACAGATATGCAAATACTTACTGAAGATTTATTAGCAAAAATAGGAATACAAACTCCAGCCTTCAAGAAGTTTGAAAATCTGCTTTTGTTCAGCACAAAAATCCACTTTGTTGCGCTTTGCCAGAAACAACGGAAATCTGTCTTCTTATGAGATTTAACCATCCTGGGTCAAATCTTTCTCATCTTCCCTTTTCAACAGTTTCCCATCAAAATACGTAACAGATACCAGTGAACTGAACATTTTGTAAGAAACATTTATGAGCTTAACTTTCACAGAAGAAAGTATCTTGGTTAAAAAAGCAAGGACAGCCTGAGAAGGCTGATAAATGTTCACTAGCTCTCCCCTCTGCATAACCATGCCATGGGCCACTAAAAAAGCCTGGAAGAAGTCCTCCAGCTCTGGTCAGCTTTCTGTGCCATGAAGGCAAACTCAGAAGGGAAATTTTTGGTTGAAACAAAGAACAGACCTACCAGCCCACCCTTCATCTGCAGAAAGGTGGCTTAGAGAAGGATGACAACTTCAGAGAGAGAGGAGAAGCAAAAATACTTCAAAATATCTCAGGCCATGTCCTGCTCCATCTGGGATCTGATTAGATGGCTGAAACTACAGGATCACCTCCTGCCCATCTGGCATGTAAGACAAGATGATAGATCATGGAATCACAGAATGGTTTGGGTGGGAAGAGATCTTAAAGATCATCCCAACATGGGCAGGGACACATTCTGCTATATGTGGTTGGTCCAAGCCTCATCCAAGCTGGGATGGGACAGTAAGTAGGAAGTGGTTTTTATTTAAACCTCCCAGCACTGCCCAAGTAGACTGGTCCCTTTTCAAAGCAGAGCCACACTGAACTCACATGCTGAATCTCTCCTCATCTGGCAGGAGAGCAGACAGTGAGCGGCGGAAAAAGGAAAGGAAAGCCCACACCGCACAGCTCCTGGCTTCCGGCAGATACGGGCGAGAGATTATTAAGAAGAAGGAAGATAACTGAGAAAAGGAGAACAAAAAAAACCCCAAAAAAACAACAAACCACCATCTGATCAAAAGCTCTGCCTGGCCTCAAAAGCTGCAGAAACTGCTCAATAACAAGGGAGTGAAATTCAAGGTGTTGGTGCTTGGTGCAGGCACTACCAAGAGACAAGGCAACTACAAGAGCTGCAAGGGAGAGGACGAGGAGGGAGGAAGAGATCAGAAGATGAATGAAAAAGCCTCAGTGAGTTAAGAAAAACTTTGTGTTAGGGAGATCTATCCCAGTTTCACAAAGGGGTGAGGAAGACAGTTTGGGAACTCAAGGTGTTATTTCCTGGGGATATCCCCTCCAGATTTCTGAGCTGAAACAAAACAAGCTCAGTAACATTGCCAGCTCTTAGGATCTTACTGCAAGCCTGACAACAGCTGTGGGTTTATTCTGAAAGCATCAGCCTCTAGATCCATGTGGCAAAGAAAAAAGGAAAAAAAGGAAAAATTTATTTAAAAAATTTAAACAAAGCCCACACCATTAAGGCTGCATGAAAAGCTAGGAAAAGGCCATAATTTAGATGCTCTTATCTGTAGCATCTCTAGCATGTGCTAGAATAGGTTAAAATAAATCAACTACTTTCAAATTTGAAAGATATTTAATAAACACAGAATTCATACTTCAGGCGTTTCCAAGCATTCCAAATGCCCCAGGAAAGTAGAAAAAAGTATGTTTCTCATGTAAGAAAAAACTACATAATGCTCACTAATTTTAATAGCTTTGATGTTGAAAGAAAGAGTTAAAAGTTCATCTGATGTAGAAATAATGACCAACCCCTTACTGTGCCTCACACAAACATGAACTGTAGTTGTGGGTTCTAACACCAAACTGAATTCAGGATTGCATAACCTACCCTTCAATATCGGAATAAATATTTAATAATTCAAAATACATAATGCTAACCTCTCATTGATCAACACACTATACAGCAGCAAATCATAAAGAGAAAAGCTGGCTTGGTCCTTCAACAGTTATTTGCAGCTGCACATATGCTAAGGGAACATGTCCAGTATTTCCAAACACAACAGGTCTGTACTTCTAAACCCAAGCATTTCTTAGACCCCAATGTTAATTATACATTAAAAAAGTATAAAAATACAGCTACAAACTCTTATCAACTATAGCTGCCAAAAAGTACAATCTGCATTCCATAAGAGTAACTGTTATTAAATGCATTTTCTTTCTTTTTTTTTTTTTTTTTTTTTT